AAGGGGAGCTGGTAGTGGGGTGGGGGGAGGCTGAGCGTTCGGGGGGGATCCTCTCGCTGTCCTGTGGGTGCTGAGCCGGTGAGCCCACCCCACAGCTTCAAGAGGAGGAAATCTTTGAGTCAGAACAAAGGTGTTTCCTGGAAACAATCAGACCTGTCATTCTGGGAAGTTAAGATAACTCTCAATAGAGAGGTTCAACCCAGAGGAACAAAGCCATAGGATTCTGTGGACCAAATAGCTTTGCAAGATCTCAAAGCGGATTCCAGCCCTTCTGACGGCAAAATGTCTCTCCCTCCGCCAAACCAGTCTTTCCAGGCAGGTCTGTTTCCAAGAAGGAAATGAGGATGGGGAAGAAGACCAAGAAGATGCCTCTCTGGAAGAACCGATCTGCTGGGGGCAGGGACCGCGGGGCAGGGACTTCCATCATTACAGGGCTGCCAAGAAGTATTGTCCTCTTGGCAGATGGATTGGAGCCTTGCTGAGCCCAGTAGGAAGGCTGGCTGGTTGGGGAGAGAAGAAAAATCAGGGCAGAGGAGAGGAAAGAGTGGTAGGAGGGGAGGGCATGGAGGGAAGGGGTGAAGCTCGGAAAGTTCAAAGGCTTTGAATAAGTATAAGACATAATGATGTCCCCACCTTTATTTTTCCACTCCAGCTGAAAAGCAGAAGCAACTGAGACCATATAACCTCATATTAGTCTCATATATATATATGTATATATTGTGAAATGATCACCCTAATAAATTAAAATCCGTCCCCACACAAAGTTACAGTTCTTTCCTTGCACTTTGTACTCTCTCAGTGACTTTCAAATATGCGATACAGTCTCATCAACTCCAGTTCCCGTGCTGTACATGGGATCCCCAGGAATTATTCATCTTATAACCGGAAATCTGCCCCCACACTCATTTCATGTGCCCCCACCCCAGCCCACCTGCTTCCAGCAACCAGCCATCCATTCTCTGTATCTGGGAGTTCATTTTTTTTTTTTTTGAAAAGATCCCACAATTTGGCTATTGTGGACATTGCTGCTATGAAATTGGGGTGCAGGTGCCCTTTCTTTTCACTATGTCTGTATTTTGGGGGTAAATCCCTGGTAGTGCAATTGCTGGGTCATAGGGTAGCTCTATTTTTAACGTCTTGAGGAACCTCCACACTGTTTTCCAGAGTGGCTGCACCAGCTTGCATTCCCACCAACAGTGTAGGAGGGTTTCCCTTTCGCCGCATCCTTGCCAACATCTGTTGTTTCCTGTCTTGTTAATTTTGGCCATTCTGACCGGTGTGAGGTGGTATCTCACTGAGGTTTTGATTTGTATTTCCTTGATGCCGAGTGATGTTGAACATTTTTTCATGTGTCTGTGTGGTGATGAGCACTGGATGTTACACGCAACTAATGAATCATTGAACACTACATCAAAATCTAATGACATACTATGTGTTGACTGATTGAACATAAAAAAAAAAAGATTCCACATATCAAGGAGATCATACAGTATTTGTCTCTTCCTGCCCAACTTACTCCACTTTACATAGTGTCCTCAAGGTCCGTTCATGTCACAAATGGCAGGATTTTTTAATGGCTGAGTGTTGTTCCATTGCATATATAGAATCACCTTTTCTTTATCCATCCATCCATCCATCCATCCATCCATCCATCCATCTGTGGACACTTAGGTTGCGTCCATATCTTGGCCTTTGTGAACAGGGCTGCAGCGAATGTGGGGATGTGCATACCTTCAAGTTAGTGTTTTCCTTTCCTTTGGACAAATACCCAGAGGTGAAATTGCTGGATCATATGGTGGTTCTAGTTTTAATTCTTTGAGGGGCCTCCATACTGTTTTCCACAGTGGGTGCACTGATTTGGGCAACTTTTTAAAAGACTGCTGATTTCCTGGCCGCATTCTGGCAAGAGTCTGAGTCAGTGCATGTGGGGTGGGGCCCAGGAGTCTGGATTTAAAGCTTCACAGCTGATTCAAAGCCCAGTCAGGATGGAGAACAGCTGGTAGGTGTCTCGTTCTCTCTCCCACCCCTTGGCTTCAAGGACTCAAGTGCTCCCTTCCTGTTCTGCTCTTGGGTTATGATAGAATATACCAGCTGTGTGCTTAGGAAAGAGCTTTTAACTCACTTTTAATGAATCATATGACAGGTTTTGCTGGGAGTGGGGTGTTCTCCCAAATGCAGGCCAACGTTGCCCTAACATGGCCACAAACTGAACCCAGTCCCTCCCTGGTCAGCTCCTAGAACACCCTCCATCTCCGGAATGTCTCCCTCCCAAGAGAGCTTGAGAAAGAGTGTGGGTGACTCGGTGTCATTGTGCTGGTGGCCTGTCCAGAAGCAGGGCAGGAGGGTATCATGTCATTGCATAAGACTGGCCATCTAGGGAGCGCATGAGCGGCTGTCAGTTGAGTGTCCGACTGTTGATTTCGGCTCAGGTCATGATCTCGTGGGTCATGAGATCAAGCCCCTCATGGGGCTCTGAGCTCAGCGGGGAGTCTACTTGAAGATTCTGTCCCTCTGCCACCACCCCACCTCTCCAATAAATAAATAAATCTTTAAAAAAAAGACTGGCCATCCATGGGCATGGTTCACATTCTGGAGCAAGGCCAGACAAAGGCAGGGCAGGACTTTTGGTGGACAGTTCAAGTGCTCAAGCAGTCATCATCTTGACCAGTGCCTTTTTTCTCCGGACACATTTAAAGGACACCAGAGAGGAACACCTGGGTGGCTCAGTCGTTAAGCGTCTGCCTTCGGCTCAGGTCATGATATCAGGGTCCTGAGAGTGAGCCCCACATCGGGCTCCCTGCTCTGCAGTAAGCCTGCTGCTCCCCCTGCCTGTGTTCTCTCTCTCTCTTTCTGACAAATAAATTTTAAAAATCTTAAAAAAAAAAAAAAAAGGCCACCAGAGAAATGAGATAGAGCCTGCTGGAATGGCCACAGAAGTGTCAGCCAGAGGTGAAGGGAACTAAGAGGTACAAACTTCCAATATCAAGTAAATGAGTCCTGGGGATGTAACGTACAGCATGGGGAATATAGTCAAAAATATTATAATGACTTTGAAGGGTGACAGACAGTAACTAGACTTATTGTGGGGACCATACTGTAATGTATAAACATATCAGATCACTATGATATACAGAATATTGAATGTCACTTAAGCTTCAATTAAAAAAAAAAAAGTGTCAGCCAGATGCCCTGGCCTCAGCAAGACCAGCTTCAGCTTCTCTGCCTTCCAGCTGGGCTTGGCCATGCCCCCCAGTTAATATTTTTTGAGCCTCTACTATGTGCCAGGCATTGAGCTAAGTGCTTCCCACGCATTCATGCCTTACTGAGTCCTCACAATCAACCCGTGAGCGAAACCCTTCTATTATGCCCATTTTACAGATGTGCAAAGTGAGGCCAGCCTATACAACTTCCTTGTGGAAAGAAACAAAGACCATCCAGATGAAGACAAACACGTTTTTCATTCAGAGCTTGCTACAGCAAGAGAGGCAGCCACTCTCATTTGTGTTTGGCAGAGACTCACAGACAGGCCAGGGATTGGGGGAGCCCCAGAGTGGACAAAAGGGAAGGCACAGGTGTGCTTCTGTTGGAGGGGTTGGCACGGAGAAACAAGCATCTTGTGTGTTTGATTTGGGAATATAGTTGGCTCTCTCTGGTTGATCCTGAGTTGGAAAAGGGAGGAAAAAATAGGAAGCTGGCAGTCTCCAACCAAGTTGTGATGGTTCTGGGCTAGTTGCTGCCAGGACCGTGGGTCAGAGTTCTCTTGTCATCTACAGCCTGGCCATTGTCCATTTGCATTTCAGTCTCTCATCCCTGCATGCTCCAGCTCTCGTCCATCCCTACAGAAAAGCTCTTCTTGCCAGAGTGAAATCTTGGTCACCATTCAGATGCCAACTCTGTGCTAAGATTTCTGCAGGCTCCCCTCAACACACACCAGAACCTCCCCTCCTTTGAACTGCTAGCACTACTCTATCCTGCTTCAAAGTGGAGTTATAAGAACCTCGAGAGCGGCTGCATACTGAATGTCTCCGGTCACGCCTTCTGTGGGCTCTGCAGACTGTCTGAAGGCTTATTTGCAGCCATGGAAGGCTGCAGAACGTGCGCCCCTCCCCACAACTGGCAATGACCCATGGAGAGGGGCTGTGATGCTGAGGAGGTGGGTCTTACACCACTTTCCAGAGGCGTCAGCTCTAATTGCTCTCTGCCCGATGATGCTCCCTTACTGGCTACCTTCCTTTGCCTTGTATCACCTCCCCATCCTCTTGAGGTTACTCCCTGTACCTCCCGCACATAATCTTGGCACTCAAATCTTCGTTTTGGGGTCTGCTTCCAGAAAAACCCCAAGTGGAAAGGGCTTATTGTACCCATTTTACAGATGAGGGAAACTGAGGCTCAGAGAACTTTAGTGGCATATGTCAATGTCATGCAGCTCATGAGCTAGGATTGGTACTAAACCCACACTGCTCTTGATTTGTGAGTGTGTGTGTGTGTGTGTTATTTTTCTCCCTAATTCTCTGAAGCCAGAGACCATCTTTTTCATTTAATAGCCTTGTGGAATAATGTGCTTGGTTGAAAAATTTTTAAAAATTTAATTGGAGGGGCGCCTGGGTGGCTCAGTCGGTTAAGCGACTGCCTTCGGCTCAGGTCATGATCCTGGAGTCCCTGGATCGAGTCCCGCATTGGGCTCCCTGCTCGGCGAGGAGCCTGCTTCTCCCTCTAACCCTCCCCCCTCTCATGTACTCTCTCTCTCATTCTCACTCTCTCAAATAAATAAATAAATCTTTAAAAAAAAATTTAATTGGATCCAGCTGTGCATGAATGTTTTACAAAGTTCACAACAGGACTCCCAAGAGTGGGCCAAGACCACTCCTAGGATGCCCCGGGCTCAGGCTGCCTTTAACCCCTTCCGATGGGCAACTCGGGATGCTCTCTGGGCCACACACTCCATTGTTCATACTCTGACCCTGTCCCTCTAGGAAGAGAACAAGCAAGACACAATCACCTTCAAAGGGAAATCACATTTTACTTGGATCGTTATTTGAGAAGAGCAAGTGTTTCCACACTCTTGACATCTCCATCACATGGTATCTCATACATAGGGAAAAAAAAACCAAAAAAACCCTGGAATCCCTCTCCCCCTACAGTCCCCGCTCCGTCTTCCCATCCTCAAATGTAGGGAAAGACCAGCTTTAAAGGCATAGCAGGTCTTTGTCCCTAAAGCAGCACAGAGAAGGCCATTCCACAAAGCGGACCACCTCCTCCAAACCCTATCTTCCCAAAGGAATTGATCCTCCAGGACTGTTTTATAACAAAAGGCAATGAGTCCCTAAAAACTTCACTATGTACAGCTTGTGAGACTCGTGCAAGGAAGGCTGGGATCTGGCGGCGCCTACGGCAAAGGAGCCCCGTATTTTCTCGGATTTTTATTCATCTGGGTTTCTGGAAGTGGGACAAGCTGAGGGCATCGGCAATGTGATGACGAGCTGCAGCTGTCGACAGGTTGCCCGTACCCAGACAGACAGACAGACAGTCAGCCCGCAGGGTCCCACAAGCCCAGAGGACCCACAGAAGCCAGCTACAGGCTAAGTTTTTAGGTGCTGGCCAAGTGTGTCTGCAGGTCGGGCCTCATGCCCCTGGGTCCTGATGGAGCCTGGGAAGCAGAGAAAGCCTACCCCCTTCCTTCCAGAATCTTCTCCTCCAGCTCAGGGAAGGCAAGGGGCCCAGGACGCTTGGAGCGGTTGCTCAGCCTCCCCTGCCTCGGGTTTCGTTTTACAGACTGATGTTAGGAAACAGGAACATTCGCTCTCCCCCTCTTACCGCTGGCTCACGGGCCCCAGGCGGAGGGCCAGGGGGCAGTTAGATGGATGTGGTGTTGCCAGGGTTCCCCTGCACTGGGGCTTTGGTGCGCATTGCCCTGACCCTAGGAGACGCCGTCTTCTGCCTGGCATCCAGCTTCTTCATGTACTTCTGGACCCAGGGATGCCTGGGGTCGCCACAGAACTTCTGGCCTTTCCTGGTGGTGAAGCTGTGGGAAGGGTGACAAGGGCACACTTGAGAGGTGGCAGGGACCTCGGACCACTTCCCCAGACAAGCAGGGAGTGTAGAGGCCCGCAGAGGGGCAAGCTGCTGCCTGGGGGGGCCTCCTAGCAAGGTCCTGACACACAGTCCTCTCCCTGCGTGTCTGCATCTCTGCACATCCTCGGCAACCTCCCTGTCCGATGGGGGAGGCCCGGCCCTGCCTTCAGAAAATGCTGGATCTGAAGAGAGAGACACAATCTCTACCCACAGGGAGGAGAGGAGAGGAGAAAATGCATTGAAACTCCCCAGGAAAAAAGGCAGATACCTCCAATTCACACGTCTTTCGGGGAAAGGTGACTCATAAAGATGCCAGAGCAGGGAGGGGGCGGTGCCAGGCCAGCTCTGAGCTAGGGGGTGCCAGGGGGCGAAATGACTCATGATACCAAGGTCACATTTCTGCAGCAGGTCGCTGTTACAGAATAAGCTCACACTTGCTGTCTTGTGTGAGAGGCAGCTATGAAGTTATCTGGAGTCCCAGTGACCTTGAGCGGGTCAACTCTCTGGGCCTCAGTTGTTACCTGTAAAATGGGCATAATCCTATCTAGCTCACCAAATGGTCCAGAGGGTTAGTTACAATCATGGTATACGTCCCCAGATAGTGCCTAGTATATGTGGTGACCCGGAGGCTCATCTCTCCCTGCCCCTCTCCTGCCGGGTGTCCAGGGAGAGGGAGATACTCACATCACTCCTGCCACAGGGCAGACACTCGCACTGGACAGCTGGTAGCTAACCACTCGGTTCTGAGGAACTTTCTTGGAAATGAAGGATATGCAGCAGGAAGAGGGGATGGGCACAGAGCCTAAAAGACGGGAGAGAGAACCATGTTCTTTCCCAGCCTGTCCAAGGCCTGGGCTTCAGGGATGGAGCACGTCCCCTACACTAACACCTCCAGACAGCTGCTCCCCAGCATTCCCCTCCAAACCCAGCCTGGTCGGTCCTCCACCCTCCGCTGTGCCATCCAGCCATGCTCTCGGCATGACTGACCTGCCTGATAGCCCGGGGCTGAGTTGGAGGTCGTACCTGCAGGGTCAATGCGGTGGGCACATAGGGTCAGAAGCAGGAGGCTAGCCCCAAGGGTCGCAAGGCCTGCCATGTGCCGGAGAAGCAGTTCAGCACCTAGAGCTGGGGTGCAGGAGAAGAGGGCCAGGTTCCTTTCAGACCACCCCAACCTCCCTCTGCCTTTTATAAGGGCAGTTGGGAGGAAACATGCTCTGACGGAGTCTCCCCCACACCCTCCAGATTGCCTTGAAAGTCCTCGAGGCCTATGAATTCTGAGAAGCGGAAGTGGTTGCCTAGCTGAGTCAGGGGTTATGTGGTGTATTCTAACAAAGGCTGGGGGAAGAGAGGATTGCCTCGCCTAAGTGAAGTGCAGAAGCTTTGGATGCAGAGTCAGAAGGCTAATGAGGATCCTTGCTGTGCCGTTCATTCCCTGTGGGATCCTGGATAAGTCACTCACCTATCTGAGCTTTAGTTTCTTTTTTTTTTTTTTATTCATGAGAGAGCGAGAGAGAAAGGCAGAGGGAGAAGCAGGCTCCCAAGGAGCAGGGAGCCCGATACGGGACTCGATCCCAGGACCCCGAGATCATGACCTGAGCCGAAGGCAGACGTTTAACCATCTGAGCCACCCAGGCGCCCTGAGCTTTAGTTTCTTGAGCTGAAAATGGGTAAAGTCACCCTATCTCCTTCCATTCATTCATTCATTCATTCATTCACCAAGTCTTTGGACGGGGGGCAGCAGAGGGAGAGGGAAAGAGAGAATCTCAAGCAGGCTCCACACCCAGTGGGAAGCCCGATGCGGGGCTCCATCTCACAACCCTGAGATCATGATCTGAGCCAAAACCAAGAGCCACACGCTCAACTGACTGAGCCACCCAGGTGAATATCAGTTGATATTCACCAACTCTTTTTTTTTTTTTTAAAGATTTTATTTACTTATTCATGAGAGAGAGAGAGGCAGAGGGAGAAGCAGACTTCCCACAGAGCGGGGAGCCCGATGCGGGACTCGATCCCAGGACCCCGGGATCATGACCTGAGCCGAAGGCAGACGCTTAACCATCTGAGCCACCCAGGCGCCCAATATTCACCAACTCTTATTAGGCTATGTGCTATGTGCCAGGCTTCCAGTGGGGAGACAGATATGCGGGCAAGTGTGCGTAAGAAGCAATTACAGGTGCTGACCGAGTGGACGTGGAGCAGAACAGACACTCTCGATGTTCATGTGCCCTTGGACCCCTTCACCTTGTTTGCACATACTGGCTTTTGGTGACCTTGCATTCCTAGTGCCCAAGCTGGTGAAGCCACCTAGCCAGCAGGCTCTACGAAAGTGGGAAATACCTAGAAATCTATATTCTCGGGGCAGACCTTGACACAGGTCTGCTGGAGGGATACAGACTCCAGATATAGCATGACCTACACTGCTTCCTGAGACCCCGACTGGGTCAAGCCAGTTTCCTTCTGTGCAGCAGGACTCTGTTGACCCCCCTTCCCTCCTGGGTCTGCTTCTCCTCTGCCCTGTTGGTTTCCCCTGGAGGCACTGCCTAATGAACCACTTGCCCACAAATCCTCCTTTCAGGGTCAGTTCTGAGAACCCCAGCCTGAGACAAGGGGTGTAGGTGGGGAGGGGGGATCATTGAAGGAACTGGCCAGCTCTGCTGGAAGGAAACTGGGGGATGCGCTTGGAATTGATGGCTGTGCTGAGGTTTGGACAGTCAAGAAACTGGTAGCTGCAGGCGCCTGGGTGGCTCAGTTGGTTAAGCGACTGCCTTCAGCTCAGGTCATGATCCTGGAGCCCCGGGATCGAGTCCCACATCGGGCTCCCTGCTCAGCGGGGGGTCTGCTTCTCCCTCTGACCCTCTTCCCTCTGGTGCTCTCTGTCTCTCATCCTCTCTCTCAAATAAATAAATAAAATCTTTTTAAAAAATAAAAAAAAAAAGATTCTCTTTAAAAAAAAAAAAAAGAAACTGGTAGCTGCAGGAGGGCTTTGTAGGTCATGTTGAACAATGCTGTTCTTAGGAACCGAGGTGACCTTGGCAGACAGAGTGGAATATGGCACCCACTTCACTCTGTCCCCCATTCCAGGTCCCAGACTGGGACCCCATATTTGGACTTTTGTCAACTGCTGATTCCATTTCCAGCCCCTCCCTCCAATGTTCTCCATTCCATTTCTCATGGGAATGAATCCTCGGCTTTCTCTGGCCTCCCTGCTCTGGCCATCCAGGGTATGCAAGCACACACCGATGGAGGAGCTCACTGCCACACATCACCCGGATTACAGCCAGTTGTGTGTCTCTGTCTCCCATGGGACCACAGACACCAAGATCGATGTCCCATTTCCATGCCCACCAATTCCCATGCAGGTCAGCTATTGCGTGGCCAGTGTTTTTAGAATGAATATATGATGGACCAACTCTGACCAAGGACTCCTACGTGGTCTCTGCCCAGCATGACTGAGATCAGTGTGGACATACATGGGGGAATCAATAGGCAGGTCCTCTGATGGGGGCCAGGCCAGCCATTCTCTGAGCCTGCCTGAGATTCTCTCTTTCTCTTTCCCTCTGCTGCCCCCTGCCCAAAGACTTGGTGAATGAATGAATGAATGAATGGAAGGAGATAGGGTGACTTTACCCATTTTCAGCTCAAGAAACTAAAGCTCAGATAGGTGAGTGACTTATCCTGCTCCCCTCAGCAGCCAGCAATGATGATCTTCACCTGGCAGAGTACGGGGGACATTAAATGAGATGCCCTTTATACATTCAGGGGCTTTCCATGATTCCATCTTATGACATCCATTTGAAGATTTGCTTCTCAACAATCCAGAGGGGGCTTTTTGACTCAGAGGTGCTGGGACAGAGTGCGGCAGGAGCAGGAAGACATCAGGCAGAAGCAGCATGCAGGAGAAGAACGAGGACAGGGCTGAACAGGGCAGGAAGCTTGTGCTGTCTGCATGTTGAAACCCGAGGGAATGGCACAGCAGAAGGTCACTGGGTGGGAGGGTTTGGGGTGGGGTGCATTCTTTAGAGACCAAGGCCCTTTCTTTCTTTCTTCCTCTCTTCCTCTCTTTCTTTCTTTCTTTCTTTCTTTCTTTCTTTCTTTCTTTCTTTCTTTCTTTCTTCTTTCTTTCTTCTTTCTTTCAGAGCACGAGTGTGCTGGGTTGAGGAGGGGCAGAGGGAGAAGGAGAGAATCTCAAGCAGACTCCGTGCTGAGTGCAGAGCCCCACACGGGGCTCTATCCCATGACTCTGAAATCATGACCTCAGCTGAAACCAAGAGTTGGACACTTAACTGACTGAGCTACCCAGATGCCCCATTTCTTTCCCCAAGGCCTTTCAAAAAAAGTGCCCAGTCTTGGGTGAAAGCAAAAGAAAAGGAGGTTCTAGGAAAGCAGAATAGAAAACAGAAATAGAAAGAAAGAGGAGGAGGAGGAGGAGGAGAAGGAGGAGGAGGAGGAGGGGAGAAGGGAGAAGAAAGGGGGGAGGGGGAGGGGAGCAGACTTGGGGAAAGGAGGTGAAGAGGAAAGAGGAGAAAGAAGGGGGGCCCTGTGAAGTGCTCTGAACCCCCCTGGCTCCAGCTCAGACTCTGCTCCTTGCCCACTGTGGTTTCTCCATCTGAGAAGTGGGATGTGGCTGGATCTGCGTTTTCCCAGAGTGTGGCAGCCACATGACCACGTGATACAAAAACGGGCATATTTCACGTTAATTTAAATATGTCTTATTTTGGTGACCCTCTATGATAAAGGGGTGTTATATTTATATAACATAAGATTTTCCCAAAGTAAAAAATACGAGTTGACAAAATAGAATAAAGTAGGTCAACAGGACTAATAGTGTGGATATAGGACAAAAATTGTGACGATGACCCAGGAATAGCTGAAACCTGAGAAACCTGGCCAACGTGCCCTCTGAGGGCCTCTCCCCTCGAACGTGCATCCAGGCAGCAGAGGAGGGAGGAGGAGGAGGTTGGAGACTAAGTGGGCAGCGGGGAGGAGAGGAACAGGAGAGGAAGGCAGAACTGTGCCTGGCAGGGAGCAGGGGGCAGTGGTCCTGCCCTTGCGGAATGGCAGCAAGGGAGGCTGTCTGGTTGCCTCTCCTGGGTGAGTCACCCCAAGAACAATGATGTAGCACCAAACCCAAGCTGCATGATGCGGGCCCATGGACGGTAGCCAAGGGGGTAAGGGGACTCCAAGACACACCCCATTGAGAAAGGACTGGAAGAAATGGGCTGTTAGCTTGGACAAGAAATGACTCCAAATACTTGAAAACATGTCCCAGAAAGGGAGAGTTGGCCCCGGTGGCCCTAAATAGTGCAAGAGTAGACAGTTGTGAGGGCAGGGTGGTGTGGATTGGGCAGGAGGGCAGCACAAGAGCAGGGCTCAGCTTGCCTATGAAGTTGCTAAGAGCTTCAGATCCCTCCTCCCCATGAATCCACACTTCATCCCCAAGGCAACTGAGCCTTAGAGGTCAGGCAAGGGTAGAGCCGGCATTTGAATTGTGTTCTGTCTGAACCCAAGGTTCATGCAGTGCCTCTCACCTGGGAGCTCAGCCTTGATCCTGGGGGCAGCGGGGCCACCCATGCTTTGGATGTGCAGAGTTTAAAAGAGGTCAGATCTGTGGTCTAGTGACATGATTGGATCCACTGGTAGGCGTGGTAGGAAAGGACTGGGGCAGGGAGGCCGGCTGGAGGTTATTGAAGCTGTCCAGGGGAGGGATGATGAGGGACTAAAGCAGGAGCCAGGAGAGGTAAAATTGGCTCCATTCCACCTGTTAGATCTACTTGAAGTGCCTGGAGGAGAGGGAGATGCAGAATCTGGGAGGTGCCCCCTGGTGCATTCCAGGTTGTGGGTGACAAGCACCTGCAGGTTTCCTAATACCCACTTCTTGGAACTCAGTCCAGAACCCACCTTTTTAAGCCTCTCCCTAAACCCAGTAACCATGGCCCAGGAGGACCACCCTCTGGATTTGAATATCACCTTCCAGGATGGAAGTCTTTGCTCAGCTCTTCAATGGCATTACCAACATTACTTAATTCCTCTGAGCCTTACCGTTCCTGTCTCATCTATAAAAGGGGAAATAACAATTTTCATCTCATAGATTATTACGAGGATTGAACATGATAATTCATGTCAAGTGCTTAGCTCCCAGTCCAGCATAGATCAAATGCCCCCCTGGCCATTCTTATTTTTATTACAACAACTTGTTTACAAGCCAGTGAGATGATTAAACAACGCACAGGCTCTTCCATGAGCTTTACTATATTACTGCATTTATTTTTTTTTAAAGATTTTATTTATTTATTTGAGAGAGAGAGAGCACATGAGATGGGGGAGGGTCAGAGGGAGAAGCAGACTCCCTGCTGAGCAGGGAGTCCGATGCGGGACTCGATCCAGGGACTCCAGGATCATGACCTGAGCTGAAGGCAGTCGCTTAACCAACTTAGCCACCCAGGCATCCTATATTACTGCATTTAATCTAATCTTTACACTAATGACCCTGTACTGTAGATATTATAATATCATAGTACAGAGAGGTGAAGCAACTTGCTCATGGTCACACAACCACTGACTCCACTTTTGTTTTGCAGCTGAAACATGAACTACCATATAGGGTGTTAAAAATATGGGAGTAGTGAGGGAGTGAAAGGCTAAGAAAGAGAAGGAAAATGGGCAAGCTGATCCTAAAATTCATACAGAAATTCGAGGAACCCAGAATGGTCAAAATAATTTTGAAAAAGAAGAATAAAGTTATGGGGCTAACACTTCCCACTTTCACAGGTTACTACAAACTGAAGTAATCAAGATGGTTTGGGTATGGGCATAAGGATAGACATACAGATCAATGGAGTTTAGAGTCCAGAAGTAAACCCTCACATTTACAGTCAATTGATTTTTTTTTAAAGATTTTATTTATTTATTTGACAGAGAGAGAGAGAGAGTGAGCACAAGCAGGGGGAGTGGCAGGCAGAGGGAGAAGCAGGCTCCCCGATAAACAGGGAGCCCGATGCAGGACTTGATCCCAAGACCCTAGGACCATGACCTGAGCTGAAGGCAGACGCTTAACCCACTGAGCCACCCAGGTGCCCTTACAGGCAACTGATTTTTGATAAGGATGCCAAAGCCATTTGATGGGAAAGGATAGTCTTTTCAACAAATGGTGCTGGGACAACTGGATATCCATATGCAAAAGAATGAAGTTGGATCCCCTCCCTCACACCATATGTGAAAATTAACTCAACATAAATGTAAGAGTTAAAACTATAGAACTTTTAGAAGGAAACATAAGAATAAATCTTGATGACCTTGGATGAAGTAACAGTTTCCTTGATATGATACCAAGAACACAAGCAAGCACACAAAAAATAGTTGGACTTTACTAAAATTAAAAATGTTGTGAATTGGGGTGCCTGGGTGGCTCAGTCAATTAAGCATCTACCTTTAGCTCAGGTCATGATCTCAGGGTCCTGGGATCCAGCCACGCGTCGCATTGCATCCGGGCTCCCTGCTCAGCGGGGAGCCTCCTTCTCAGGCTCCCTCTGCCCCTCCCCCTGTTTGTTCTCTCTCTCATTCTCGCTTTCTCTCTCTCTCTTAAATAAATAAATAAATAAATAAATAAATAAATAAATAAATAAATAAATAAAGTCTTAAAAAAAAAAACTTTGTGAATCAAAGGATACTATCAAGAAGGTGAAAAGTCAACTTACATAGTGGGAGAAAATATTTGGAAGTCATCTGATAATTCCAGTATCCAGATTGATTCTTCAGAAAATTCTTAGAATTCCACTTGTGAAAAGACAAACAATCCAATTTTAAAATAAGCAAAGAATTTGAATTGGTATTTCTCCAAAGAAAATATACAGATGACCAAGAAGTACATGAAAAGATAACGCAACATCATTAGTCATTAGGGAGATTCAAATAAAAACCACAGTGAGATAGCACTGCACACAGCCAGCTATGGAAAAAAAAGAAAAATAAGTGTTGGCAGAGAAATAGGAACTCTCATACATTGTTCCTAGGAATGTAAGATTGTGTAACCACTGCAGAAAAATGTGACAGTTCCTCAAAAAGTCAAACATAGGGTTACAATGTGATACAACAATTCAAGTCCAAGGTATACTCTAGAGAACTGGAAACATGTTCCTGCCAAAACTTGCCAATGAATGTTCACAGCAGCATTATTTGTAGTAGCCCAAAACATGTAAACAGTCTAATGTTCATCAGATGATGAATATATAAACAAAAACGGCATAGCTATACAGTGGAATTTTATTCAGCTATAAAAAGTAATGAAGTGTATGGATACATTCTTTGTGATAGAAGTCAGACTCAGAAGGTCATATAGTGTAGGATTCCATTTACAAGAAGTGTTTTAGAGTGGGAAAATCCATAGAGACGTAAAGTAGATTAGTGGGTGGGGGACGGGGCGGGGGGAATGGGAAGAAGAGGGGGTTGAGAGAGATGAGATTTCTTTTTTGGGGTGATAGAAATGTTCTAGAACTAAATCGTGGTGAGGGTTGTACCAAATGTGCCACTCAACTGTACACTTGAACGGCATTGGGGTGCCTGGGTGGCTCAGTCAGTTAAGCGTCCGACTCTTGGTTTCAGCTCAGGTCAGGATCTCAGGGTCATGAGATCAAGCCCCACGTTGGGCTCGGAGCTCAGCTTGGAGTCTGCTTGAGATTCTCTCAATCCTTCTCCCTCTCCCTCCCCCTCTTCTCCTCACCCTGCTTGAATGCTCTCTCTCTCAATAAATAAATAAATAAATAAATAAATAAATAAATAAATAAATAAATAAATAAATAAAATCGTTAAAGGCATTAAAACAATGAATTTTATGTTATGTAGATTTTATCTCAATTAAGAACTAAAGAAAAAAGAAGAGAGCAGAAGCTGAGGAAACTTTCAAAATATTTGCTCAAATGGTGGGGACTTAGTGACTTTTTTGAGGCCATACCCATTCTCAAAGACCTCACCTGCCTCCCTCCCCCTCTGTGGCCTGGCTTCGATCAAACAGTCTGATTTATCAGATTGAACCCAGGAGGGCAGAGTCAGGCGGGGACAGTGGGTTTTCCCCAAATCCTTCCCCTACCCTGCACACACTTCCTGACAAGCAGGCAGAAAAGGAGTCTTCCTTCAATGGGTTCCATGGCTGTCTTCATCGAATGGAGGCTCCAGGTCCCCCTCACTCTTTTTTTCTTCCCTGATGACCCTCCTCAGTCCCCAGCACCTTCTTACTCCCTCTGTCCCATGTTATGTGAACCTACTATTTTATAGAAGGGCGATAAAAAAGCATTCACTCCACAGATAAGTGACTGACAACAGTTTAACAAGAAGGGGCTTCTTGTATTCTAGGTCTCTGCAAATAAGGACGATGGGAGCTAGGTTTCTCACTGCTGGGGAAGGGCATTGAAAATATGGAGAGGGGGAAGGAGAGAATGAACCCAAGGATGTTGGAATGGAAGCAGAGTTATCAGTGATTATATATATGCAATCATTTAGAAACAATGACATACCAGTTGCAATGAGCATACCTAGAAAAACATTTCTTGGAAAAGCAGCGATTCTAGTCCTGGGGCAGAGAACATCTTTTTGGGCCAGAAAGTAGCAAAGTGCTCAAAGAATCATGGGGATAAGTCAAAAGGACATAGGTGGCAGCTTGCAAGGACTCATACTGGACAAATCTGGGACAATTTGGCCAGTAATAGTGACAGTGATGGATTGAATAAAGTAAGAATCCATAAATAAATGTTTTGGGTTGAATTGTGACCCCCACACCTGCCCTACCTCCCACCAAAAAGAATGTATATTGGAGTCCTAACCACATTCTAGAATGTGATCTTATTTGGAGGCAGGGTCTTTGCAGAGATAAGCAAGTTAAAATGGGGTCAGTAGGGTGGGCCGTAATCCACAATGACAGGTGTCCCAATAAAAAGGGGGAAATTTGGACTTAGCTGCTGACATGCACAGAGGGAAGATTTTGTGAAGACCCATGTGGAGAAGGTGGCCATTCATAAGCCAAGGAGAGAGGTCTGGAGCAGAGCCTTCCCTCACAGCCCTGAGGAAGAATCACACCTTGATCTTGGACTTCTAGCCTCCAGACTGTGAGACAGTACATTCCTTTTGTTTAAGCAGCGCCCCCCACCCCACCCCCCGCCAGCCCCGGGCGGTGTTACTTCCTTATAGCAACCCTAGCAGACCAATAGAGGGGAAGCTCCATTAGCAGTAGGATGCCAACTGATAGAGAAGAAATGACAGAGCTAGAAAATCACCCAAGGATGCTAAAATTCGAAGGTGAAAGGGTGATGGGAAATGGGGTATTTCCATTGTCTCAGTAGGTTTCCCCACAAATTCTAGCTAATTATGAACAGAAAATCAGTAACTCGATAGTGAAGAAAGCTGGAGGACATTAATACAAAACCAAACTTCATGTGTGTTTCCTAATAAGGTTTGAAATTGGACTGAGGGTCAAGGAAAGGAACAGCTATGGTATGTTGGAATGTTCTAGTCCCAGATCTCTACAAACCAGCTGGATGAACTTGAGCAAATCACTCAGTTCTCCCAAGCTTGGATTTCTTCATCTCTGAAATGCGGTGGGGTGGGGTGTAGACTTACGTAGTCATGCGAATCCAAAGAAATTATGGACATGAGAGCTTTCAGTAAACTTCAAAGCATGGTACACCTTCAAGTCTTCACCATCCAGTGTGAATCAGATAAGATAGAAGAATTAAGCCCATTTCAGGCATTAGACAGCAGAGGAGCAAATATTTGGGGTCAGTGGGGCCTTCCTGGGCCCCTAAAATTGGATTTTCAAGGCAATCTGGCTCTGTTGGCTCTTGAATGGACTTTAATGAAAAAGGAAAATGACTTGGAATATATATCCAGCAATATTGGGGTTGTCTTTTTCTTGAGACCTGGGGCTGGGTGACAGCTGTTTCAGGATGGGTTGTTTTTTTTTTTAAGATTTTATTTAGTTATTTATTTGATAGAGAGAGAATGGGGTGGGGAGGAATAGAGGGGAGAAGCAGAGGGGGAGGGAGAGGGACAAGCAGACTCTGCTGAACACGGAGCCTGATGCAGGGCTCGATCTCACAACCCTGAGATCAGGACCTGAGCCGAAATCAAGAGTCAGACGCTTAACTACTGAGCCACTCAGGTGCCCCTCGGGATGGGTTTTAAGGGGTTGAAAAAATTTCTCCTTCCTCACCCTGCTAGTCTGATACAGATCATGGACAATTACCTTCTAAATAATGTCCCCTTTGTTGAAAGGCAAATATATTTCTTGGCAGGGATAAGAAATCCCTCACATATACCCTGTAATAAAACTTAATCAAACCAGTCATCCAACCATCCACATACTCATTGCTCCCTGCTGTACGCCAAATGCCTTGCTCACCCTAGGCACATGAAGGGAATTATATACAGCGGCTGCCCTCGAGGTATTCACCTTGGGCCGTGAGAGACAAAGGCAATTATGGTATAAGTGGTAGGTACCCACAGGGAGGAGGTATACCTGGCCACATTAGACAGCAGAAGAACGTTCTAGAAGAGGTGCCTCCTCAGCTGAGTAAGGCTGACTGAGGTGGGAAGGCCTAGGAGGGTAGCAGTAGAGACCTGGTAGAGAGGGATGTTCCAGACCTTGGAGGTCACAGGCATGAGGTCAAAGAGGAGAGGTGACTTGGTCAAGTCTGGAGTTTTGCAGAAATCCCTCTGGCTGCAGCAGCCAGTGTAGGGAGACTGTTGTGAAGGCTGGGGGGAGAGGTGGAGGCAGTGGAGGTGAGAGAGGTGGAGGCAGTGGGGGGTGGGAGGAAGGGGATGGTATTGAGAACTACTCAGAAAATTGATTCGACAAGATTTGGTGCCCTGGTGGTTGAGGAAGGAGAAGGAGGTGTCCAGGATACCACTCGGGTTTCAAACTTGGGTGCGTGGTGGGGATGGGGCCATTTGAGGAAGGGTAGAATCCACCAGGGAAAGCAGGTCTAGGTGAAAGCTATTTGGGGCTGTGGGATTCAGAGTCCCAGGGGTTCTAGTGGAGCCTTGGAGGATGATGCAGGCCCAGAGATATCGCACAGGTCAAATGCCCCCACCCAGCCCCAGGCATGGACGGTGTAGCACCATGAAAATGGCACAACCCTAGAGGCAGACGTTCCTGGGTTGGTTCCCTGCCCCCTACTTGTTTTCTTGGTGGCCCCAGGCAAGGTGCTGAACTTCTCGGAAGCACAGCCCATTTGCTGTAAAATGGGGATGTGAAAGCCCATCTCCCAGGATGGTGGCCAGAGGAGGGTGGTCCTTGAGCCTCAACAAGGGTCTCTATCCCAGGCCTACCTTCTGGAGACAAGTTGCCACCAGACCAGACCTGAATCCCTTCTGTTATTTCCTTAAAGACCCATTTGGCTCCTTTGAACTCTTACCTGATCCTCTTAGGGTCCCCATTTCATGGGGAAGAAACCGAGCCTCAGAGAGGCTGCATGACTTGCTCAAGACCCTGAGGCCATAATGCAGCAGGGCTGGTCCTATGTCTTCCTAGTAAAGAACATGTACCTTGGCCACAGCACCAGGTGCGCCCGGATACTGTGTGGTGCTGTTTCCAATAGGCAGAGTCCCTTTCCTTAGTAGCTCTCCAGTGCATCCCTTCCTGTCCACCCTCCCTGCTACCCCATTTGCTCAGGCTCCATCAGGTCCCTCCTGAATCCCTGCCCCAACCTCCTAACCAAAGGTGGCTGAAGATGGATAGAGTGTCTGGGGTTTGAAGCAGTGGAAACGAGAGGAGGACAGAGGAGCACAGGGTATTCAGGAAGGCAGGCTGGGGGTGTCACTGCTACCTGTGGTAACTTCCCCCCTCACCATCAAACACACCCACAGTCACAGAGGACTGGGAACCCTGGGGTGGTCCTAGGAGCCACTTACCTAGAGATGACAAAGTGACAGCCTCCACACCAAGCACGGAAGTATTTTCCCTCATTTATCAGATCCGGAGTGGCAAGGAGAGTGGGAGGAGAGGAGGGGCCTCCTGGGCAAAGAAGGGAGCCTGCACATCTTATCTTTGATCGTCTTTGAAATTCAGGAGCCCAAGGTTCACAAGGACTTTTGAGAAGTTGGCTTCATGGCAATAGGCAGACTTTAACACGTGCAGACGCAGGAGGTGGGGGGCCGTCCCCACCAGGAAAGCACAGTGAGTTCATTGCCAGGATGGACTTCTCCCCTACACACCCTAAGCCTGGTCTTGGAAGAGGTGTGGCCCTGAGTGGGGCAGTTATGAAGCAACTTGCTCTTTGGTCTCCTTAGAGCTCAATTTAACAGAAACAGTAGGGAACAAATAGCAGCTGAACCCGAGGTCACTGCTAACCAGCCGGCCTAGTCTGCATGGTAAACTGGAACAGCTGTAGACCAGAGGGGCCTCAGGGGTCCCCTTGTATGTCTCAGTGTCATTGCTGCCTTCAAGATGTTGGAGATTCAAGGGGAACAGAATCAGAATTAAGAGGTAGAACTCAAGGGGGAAAACATCGGATGGGCAAAGCAATCCAGAAACAGATCTGACCACCTTGAATGTTAGTGAGACTCCCAGCAAGGGGGCATGCAAACAGCTCTTGGCAGAGGTCCAAGTAGGAAATTCAAGCTTCATATAAAGAAGTCCCACTCAGGTCTGGGTTTCTGGGATCAAGGGAAAGACTCATTTTAGACTCAATGCCATTAGAGCTCAGAGTCCGCTGAAAGAGAAATACACATAATTACAATATAGTGTGATAAGGCATAGGGAGCAGAGGGGTTAAGAGCATGGCAATTAGGCCTGGGCTCAGATCTTGGCTTTCCAGCCTTCATTATGTCATCTCTGAAGTGGGGATGAAACCTTCTGCTTCCCAGGGGTACTATGGGGAGAGAGAAAGTGAACCACTGTACATAATGTTCCTGGCATGGTGCCTAACCTGCAATAAATGTTAATAATAGGAAGTCATTTCTAGTGCAAGGCACCTGCCTGCCAACGGCTCTGGGAAGATACGGCTCTGCGTTGGGGATCAGGGAAGCTTCAGAGAAGGACAAGCAGGAGCTCTGGGGAACAAATGGTCAAGGGCATTCCAGGCCAAGGGGAAGAGCATGGGCAGGGAGAAAACCAATGAACAGGGGATGTGCTGAGTTCTGGAAGATGATGGGAAGAGGTGAGGTTGAGAGTTTGGGGGCAGGGGCTGGGATAGCCTATGGTACCTCACTTGTCCTGCCCCAAATGCAACTGGTATACCGTTCCTTACTGTCCAGAGAAGGCACCATCGTCCTGCCTCCCCACATCTGATAATGTCTCTACTCTTCTTGATTCTATTTAACAACTCCTGGACCTGTCCATTCCTCCTCAGACCCATTCTTTTTTTTTTTTTTTAAGATTTTATTTATTTATTTGAGAGAGAGAGAGAATGAGAGACAGAGAGCATGAGAGGGAGGAGGGTCAGAGGGAGAAGCAGACTCCCTGCCGAGCAGGGAGCCCGATGTGGGACTCAATCCCAGGACTCCAGGATCATGACCTGAGCCGAAGGCAGTCGCTTAACCAACTGAGCCGCCCAGGCGCCCCTCCTCAGACCCATTCTGCTCCCTCCCAGTTTGACTCCCTCCACGCTGTTCTGCACACAGATGCAAGAAAGCCCCTCCTAAGATGCAAACCAGCCCTGGTCACTCCTCTGCTTAAGATGCTTCCCTAGTATCCCATCACCAACAACCAACTTCATCCATTCTCTCATCTCCATAATTTTTACCGTTTGAGCCCACCACCCAATCTGTTAAATACTTAATGGTTTTTAAAAAATTAACTTCATCCAGGGCGCCTGGGTGGCTCAGTTGGTTAAGCGACTGCCTTCGGCTCAGGTCATGATCCTGGAGTCCCGGGATCGAGTCCCGCATCGGGCTCCCTGCTTGGCAGGGAGTCTGCTTCTCCCTCTGACCCTCCGCCTCTCATGCTCTCTCTATCTCATTCTCTCTCAAATAAATAAATAAAATCTTTAAAAAAAAAATTAACTTCATCCAAAAATATCCATGAAATTACAGGTTTAGTATACTGGCTGTATTTTCTCCAATACATATTGAAATAAACCCACAAGTATTAAAGTAAAGTGGTGTGTGTGTGTGTATCAGCCTGTGGCAGAAACTATGCATGCTCTGCCCATATCCCCTTGTTCCTGCTAATTCAGGGGATGCTAGCTTGACTTCCACCTGCTGACCACCTGGCTGGCCTGCCCCCTGGGGCCATGCAGACCTACTGGGGAGGAGAACTCAGGAATTCCACGTGGAAGTAGCTGATACCAACACCAGAGATTATCAGCAAGCACCTTGGCAGATCTTAGTTGACAGACAGGTAAGATGGGGCCTGGTGATGGGCTGGTGAATGTTTAACAACTGGCTCTGTGGGGGAAACTCTGATTTGTAGCATTTGCTGGTTCCTATGGTATAAATACTCCTAAGATGGCCAATTTCAAGCTTTCAACCTGATGTCACTGAAAGTGGAGCTGGAAAGAAATGCTCTCCCAAGTAGGTGTGAGCCTGCTTTGTGTACCAGTAGGTGAGGCCCAGGACAAGCTCTCTAAGAGCGCACAGGGTCCTTCAGTTCTGAGAGATGCAAGGAGGGAAAGAGCAGTGTCAAGGGGGAGGTTGGAAAATATTTACTAACCTGAAGCTCATTGAAAGCCAAGTGAGTGCAGGAGGAGGAAAGGCCTCTGAGCATGTGCACAGGAGTCCTTCAGATGGGCCACAGCTGAGGCCACTTCCTAAGACAGCAAGGAGTCCCAAGGCAGAAGGAGATAGGAAGCCCTAACTTAACACCCGGTTTTCCTGGCTTGCCTGTGGCTAGGTCCAGTCCTCCTTGTAGAAATAGCTCCTACACAGAAGCCAAGGAAGAATCAGATTCTGCTGATCCACAAAATCTGGTCGCTGAGGAATTCGCTAAAAGAAGTGAAAGAGCATTCTTCCTGAAGGACTGACACAGCTGGATTTCTTCCCTAAGACAGAAAAACCTGAGGCTGGAGACTTAGCTCCTTCTCTGGGCTGCCCAAAGATATTGAAGGGTGGGGTCTGGTGTCAGATGCACGCTTCTCATTTACTTGACCCCGAAACTCATGGAGTAGGTTGGAATACTTGGGAACATTTTGCTTTTAGGGTTCCTGGACACAGTGTGTGGCAGGGAAGCCCCGTGCATTGGGAAGCTGGAGCCAGCATTCTGACTCTACCCTGGAGGGGTTTGTGGACTTGGACTACAGGCTCTTCCTCCATGCACTCATGAGAGTCACAAAAGCACTTTGCAAACTGCAAAGCCTTGAGCAGAAATGAGCAATGGGATGATAGTGATGTCCCATCCACCCAAGACTCCTGGGAAATAGCTCCTGTTCATTAGCTCAACACCAACCCTCACGCTGTGCCTGTGAACCATCTCTGCCCTCAGGAGGCTTATAATCTCAGCAGGAAGACAAGGCACATGAGAAAGCCCACATTACTCATCCACTCCCTGGTTTCTGCCACTATGGACAATAATCCTAAAGAATGGCTCCTTACAAGGAATGACCTCTTTATGGACACAGTCTCCCAGAATATGATAACTCCAACCGGAGGAGCTGCCTACACAACAGGAATAGTTCTGACTACTTTGCAATCTTTGAGAAACCAGGGAAGACACTGGACCTAGAGTTGATAGACCTAGATTTGGATTTCAGTTCTGCTAACTCACTGAGCGGTCAAGGTACTAACTCTCCCTGAGCTTCAGTTTTCCTACCCATAAGATGGGCTTAGCGATCCCCACCCTGTGTGCCAGCCCAAAAGCACTGTCAAGAACTTACCTGAGTTAGTGGGTATGAGATGGGAACTCCCCATTCATGTATGAAGACTGATGAGTGCTATTTGGCTGGATTATAGATCTGGATCTTTAGGAAAGAATGTAGAACATCAGGAATGATAAATATGTGGGGAAACAGGAAAAGCAATTTTTTTCTTTTAATTTATGTAAAACACATATGACTGTTTATAGCAAAAATAAAAATATTTTATTGTGGGGTTTATTACATATACAGATGTAATACATATGATAACTATAACATGAAGAATGAGAAGAAATGGATCTATATGATTGTAAAGTACTTAGAATTTATGTCAAATGGTACCTTATTAGCTCTAAGTAGACTGTGAAAAGTTACTGATTTATATCATACTCTTTAAAGTAACCACTAGAGGGGCGCCTGGGTGGCTCAGTTGTTAAGTGTCTGCCTTCAACTCAGGTCATGATCTCAGGATCCTGGGATCGAGCCCCGCATCGGGCTCCCTGCTCAGCAGGAAGCCTGCTTCTCCGTCTCCCACTCCCCCTGCTTGTGTTCCCTTTATCGCTGTGTCTCTCTCTGTCAAATAAATAAAAATCTTAAAAAAAAAATAAAAAAAAAAAAAATAACCACTAAAAAGGTAATGCAAAGAGATATAGCAAAAGAGCCAATAGGTAAATTAAAAAGAAATTCTAAAGTAAATATGCAATTAACCCAAAAGAAGACAGGGAAGTGGGAACAGAGGAACGTACAACCAAAACAAAATAAAGGGTAGAATAAGCAGGAGCCAAATAAAATAGTAGACTTCAGGGGCACCTGGGTGGCTCAGTCGTTAAGCGTCTGCCTTCGGCTCAGGTCATGATCCCAGGGTCCTGGGATCGAGCCCCGCATTGGGCTCCCTGCTTGGCGGGAAGCCTGCTTCTCCCTCTCCCACTCCCCCTGCTTGTGTTCCCTCTCTTGCTGTGCCTCTCTCTGTCAAATAAATAAATAAAATCTTAAAAAAAAAATAGTAGATTTCAACCCTAAATCATTACATCGGCAATTACATTAAATGTAAATGGCCCCTGTGTTGGGCCTCTAAGACCATGTCTATATTTCAAGATTCACTAGAAGGACTCAAGGCTCAGCATATAGTCATATAGTTGCATTGGTATATTAAGTATGCACAGCTGGATTATAAGAAAAAAAGACTCAGGTGGGGTCTGGAGGAATCCATATGTGGGCTTCCTTATGCTCTCTCCCTCCCATGAGAGATCACACAGAGCACACTCTTCCACTGGCCATGAAAAGGCAGCAGCATGTATGTATATGTTCCTGCACACAGAAGCCCGTTAGAGACTCAGTAACCAAGATTTTTACTGGAGGCTGGCCAGGCTAGCCTCTGCCTCACATATATCTAAATTCCAGACTCCCTAAAGGAAAGCAGATGTTCGGGGTACAGTGAATCATCC